ACCCCCCTTCCTTCCTGACCAGGCCATTTGTTTGCTCTTCAGCGCTGCGCTACTTTAACTGGCAATTGCGCGGGTCCTGCAACGCTGCACCCAAACAAGTTATATCATTTTTTTCCACAAAGAACTTTCTTTCGGTGGTATTTGGTCATTATTGGGATTTTTTTTTTTTTTTTAATCCTATAAACGAAAACATATTTTGTAAAAAAAAAACAAAAATCGATGTTTTCTACTTTTTGTTATAAAAAAACATATCCAATCGGTACGCGGTCTGGTGTCGTCACCATCGAGAAACCCGCCCTGAGAAACGCCAGGCGGCCATTGCAGGGGCGGACTGACAATTCATGGGGCCCCCGGGCAATAGGGGATCATGGGGCCCCTGTGTCCTTGCCCAAACTCAAAAAAGCCTATGAAAAAGGTACCAGGGGCATCTCATGGGGCCCCCTACTGACCCCCGGGCCCTCGGGCAGTGCCCGAGTTTCCAAATGGTCAGTCCGCCCCTGGGCCATTACATTCCAGAGATTTCCAGCCGCCTCCTGTGACTCGGAACCATCGCCTTCCTTTGTGAAGACCCCAGACATTTTCCTTCCTGCAATTCCGGGACACGGAGTCGCTCTGCCCTGTGAGCAGGCACTGCTGTGTCACCCATTTCACAGAGCCTGCCATCTGAGGGGAGGAGTTTCAGGAGGCGGAGTCAGTACAGGAATCGCTGCTTCAGGCAGCAAGGTACCATGGGATATGTAGTCCTTGGAAATGGAGACGCTGCAAGGCATGCTGGGGAATTGTGGAAGTTGTGGAAGGAGGCGGCCAGCAGACAGGCAGCGCTCGCAGCATGAAGGGAGAATTCCCCGCCATCTTCTATTGGACGGTCAGATAGAACGATCGATTGTATTCTTGTTACATTGCTGATCTAGAATGAGAGTGAATGCCGGGACCGGAGGACTCCTTTAACTTGTTACATAGAGACAATGTTTTCCATGGCCCCGATTTCTGATTGGCTCAGTCTGTATGGCCTGGGATCCCTGTGTATGAGGGGTGACTCTGATGGGGACCCTGATGTTAGGGGGGGACTCTGATGGGGACCTTTATGTAAGGGGGGGCACTGATGTAAGGGGGAGACTCTGATGGGGACCTTTATGTAAGGGGGGACTCTGATGGGGACCCTGATGTTAGAGGGGACTCTGATGGGGACCTTGATGTTAGGGGGGACCCTGATGGGGACCTTTATGTAAGGGGGGACTCTGATGGGGACCCTGATGTTAGAGGGGACTCTGATGGGGACCTTGATGTTAGGGGGGACTCTGATGGGGACCTTTATGTAAGGGGGGGCACTGATGTAAGGGGGAGACTCTGATGGGGACCCTGATGTTAGAGGGGAATTTGATGGGGACCCTCATTTAAGGGGAGACTGATGTAAGTGGGGACTCTAATGGGGACCCTGATGTAAAGGAAGACTCTGATAGGGTCCCTGATCTAAGGGGAGATTCTGATGAGGACCCTGACATTAGGATGGACTTTGATGGGGACCCTGATGTAAGGAGGGACTCTGATGTAAGGGGGAGGGGACTCTGATGTTAGGGGGGCTGCTGATAGAGACCCTCATTTAAGGGAAGACTGATGTAAGGGGGGACTTTGATGGGGACCCTGATGTAAGGGGAGATTCTGATGGGGACCCTGATGTAAGGAGGACTCTGATGGGGACCCTGATGTAAGGGGGGACTTTGATGGGGATCCTGATGTAAGGGGGGACTTTGATGGGGATCCTGTTGTAAGTGGAGATTCTGATGGGGACCCTGACATTAGGATGGACTTTGAGCACACTGTTGTAAGGAGGGACTCTGATGTAAAGGCAGACCTTGATAAGGACTCCTATGTAGGGTGGGCAGGGACTGCTTGGAATCTCTCACATTAAGGGGGACTTTATTGTTAACATGGACTTCGCTAAGGACTCTGATTTAAGGGGGAACACTCACGGAATCCATTATGTAAGGGGGGCTCCAATGTTAAGGTGGGGAAATCTAATGTGAAAGGGGGGGCTCTGATATGAAGTTGTTTCTTGGAGTGTTTTTATTTCATCGCGTAGAAGACATTTTTTTTTTACTCTCGAATATTTGAAGAACGTACAGTGTGGCCCCCCAGACAGGACAGTTTTGGGGCCCGGATCTGGATTTGTAAATGTCTTCCATTGTGACTGAGGGCCCGGGGGAGGGGGGGGGGCATTTCTTTGGTTCCTATTCCCCCCCCCCCCCAGTTGGAGGAATCTGTGATTTGCTGAACGTTCTCTTCCCTCCATTGTCGGAGAGTCATGACCCGGTTTGCAGAGTCTCCCCTATAGAGCATTTGTATCCGGATATAAATAACCCGGATTGCTGATCTCTGATTGGCCCGGCGGAGAGTCGCTCGGCACACACAGGTCTGCATTGTCGTTACACAGTTTGAGCTGCAGAAAGGCTCCGGGGCCGGGGGGAGTCCTGGGGTGGGGGTGGGGGGGGACCGGGGGCAGAATCGTCAGCCTTTCCTCCTCTCCATCACGTCGGAGTCGGTGCGGCTCTTCGGGGGAGAGAACATCGAGTGACACCGGAGATGATGGGGATCCGGAGCTTTGCACAAGGTTAGTGCCGGGGGGGGGGGGGGACTCCCTGCCACCCTGACTCCCTGCCACCCTGCCCCTGCCCCTGCCTCCCTGCCACCCTGCCTCCCCCTGCCACCCTGCCTCCCTGCCACCCTGCCTCCCTGACTCCCTGCCACCCTGCCTCCCCTGCCTCCCCTGACTCCCTGCCACCCTGCCCACCCTGACTCCCTGCCACCCTGCCTCCCTGACTCCCTGCCACCCTGCCTTCCTGACTCCCTCCTGCCCTGACCCTGACTCCCTGCCACCCTGACTCCCTGCCACCCTCCCTGACTCCCTGCCTCCCCCCTTCCCCCCTGCCTCCCCCCTTCCCCCCTGCCTCCCTCACTCCCTGCCACCTCTGCCTCCCTGACTCCCTGCCACCCTGACTCCCTGCCACCCTTCCACCCTGCCTCCCTGCCACCCTGCCTCCCCCCTTCCCCCCTGCCTCCCCCCCCCTGCCCCCCTGCCACCCTGCCTCCCTGCCTGCAGGTTAACCCTTTCCAGCTTGCGCCCTGTGCTGGGGACGGGCTGCTGGGGGACCCGCAAAACTCTGCCCATTATAAATCCCTGACCTCTGCCAAGGCCTCAGCTCACAGAATCCACCCTGAATGTCTTGATTGCTGGCGGCTTAAAGGGGAACTCCACTCACAGCAGAGATTTCAGTGTTTGCTGGATAGTTTAATGGTTTCTGCAATCTTCTCATCTGTACACCCGCTGTGCCCATTATGAGGGGTTCCCGCCATCCCTGTGCTGAGTTCCCGGGTCTGTACACCCTGCTGTGCCCATTATGAGGGGGTTCCCACCATCCCTGTGCTGAGTTCCCCCTGTACACCCACTGTGCCCATTATGAGGGGTTTCCCACCATCCCTGTGCTGAGTTCCCCCCCTAGGTCTGTACACCCGCTGTGCCCATTATGAGGGGTTCCCGCCATCCCTGTGCTGAGCTCCCGGGTCTGTACACCCGCTGTGCCCCCTGAGGGGTTCCCGCCATCCCTGTGCTGAGCTCCCGGGTCTGTACACCCCAGCTGTGCCCATTATGAGGGGTTCCCGCCATCCCTGTGCTGAGCTCCCGGGTCTGTACAAAACCGCTGTGCCCATTATGAGGGGTTCCCCGCCATCCCTGTGCTGAGTTCCCCGGTCTGTACACCCGCTGAATCCCATTATGAGGGGTCTTGCCATCCCTGTGCTGAGCTCCCGGGTCTGTACACCCGCTGTGCCCATTTCAGGGGTTCCCACCATCCCTGTGCCGAGTTTCCCGGGTCTGTACACCCCGCTGTGCCCATTATGAGGGGTTCCCACTATCCCTGTGCTGAGTTCCCGGGTCTGTACACCCCGCTGTGCCCATTATGAGGGGTTCCCACCATCCCTGTGCTGAGTTCCCGGGTCTGTACACCCGCTGTGCCCATTATGAGGGTTCCCACCATCCCTGTGCTGAGTTCCCCGGGTCTCTACACGCGCTGTGCCCATTATGAGGGGTTCCCACTATCCCTGTGCTGAGTTCCCGGGTCTGTACCCCCGCTGTGCCCATTATGAGGGGTTCCCACCATCCCTGTGCCGAGTTCCTGGGTCTCTACACGCGCTGTGCCCATTATGAGGGGTTCCCACCATCCCTGTTCTGGATTTGTATTCATTGTACATTGAGGATGTATTGGGGGGAGGGGCACCCTATAATTGGGTTGATGGGGGCGGTGCTTGGTGTCAGTGCGCAGTACAGGGACTCAGCGGGACTTCCTGTTCAGCTCGGTGGGTTGTGATTTGTAAAGTAGCAGCTCTCACCGGCGGCCGTCCAATCAGTGCAGCTTGCTGGTGTGAAGAGGCCCTGAAGATGGGGACAATGGCGGAGCTCACTCACCACCGGAGATATCGGGGACCAGTGCAGCAATCATCACCTTATACACAAGCATCACTTTAGAATGGTCTGGGTCTCTGTGCATCTCTATGCAATGCAGGCAGATCATGGCTGGTGGGAGGGGCCAGTAGGGTGCTGTTCCTGAAAACATCACTGCACCCGGCCTCAGTACTCCTCCCAAGAGCTCTCAGTCCTGATGCAACAGGGGCGGGGCTCTTGGGAGGAGTTATCCAAATATCAAAATGCCTTGATGGAAGGATGTCAGGCTGGAGGAATGGGCGTTCCTAGGTGGGCGGTCTTGCCAAAGGTCACACCCACATGTGATGCTGAGCCTCCCAGATCTAAAGAACTGAATGGAACAGGGTGTGGCCAGGGGCTGTCAGGTTGGGGAGGAAAGCGCTAGATGATGCTGGACGTCCTCCAGACAGGAAATAAGGCGGAGCTCTATGTGACTGGCTACAGCTTCTAATGCACATTGTGAGACGTTCCCAGTGTGCGGTGATATCGGAGGAAGACATTCAGTCCAGGAGAGGAGCCGGTACACCTGTGCAAGACTGAAGGGGAGGAGCCGGTACACCTGTGCAAGACTGAAGGGGAGGAGCCTGTACACCTGTGCAAGACTGAAGGGGAGGAGCCTGTACACCTGTGCAAGACTGAAGGGGAGGAGCCTGTACACCTGTGCAAGACTGAAGGGGAGGAGCCTGTACACCTGTGCAAGACTGAAGGGGAGGAGCCTGTACACCTGTGCAAGACTGAAGGGGAGGAGCCTGTACACCTGTGCAAGACTGAAGGGGAGGAGCCTGTACACCTGTGCAAGACTGGAGGGGAGGAGCCTGTACACCTGTGCAAGACTGGAGGGGAGGAGCCTGTACACCTGTGCAAGACTGAAGGGGAGGAGCCTGTACACCCGTGCAAGACTGAAGGGGAGAGGAGCCTGTACACCCGTGCAAGACTGGAGGGGAGGAGCCGGTACAAACCCGTGGAAGCCTGGAGGGGAGGAGCCGGTACCCCTGTGGAAGCCTGGAGGGGAGGAGCCGGTACCCCTGTGGAAGCCTGGAGGGGAGGAGCCGGTACCCCTGTGGAAGCCTGGAGGGGAGGAGCCGGTACCCCTGTGGAAGCCTGGAGGGGTGGAGCCGGTACCCCTGTGGAAGCCTGGAGGGGTGGAGCCGGTACCCCTGTGGAAGCCTGCAGTGGAGGTCGGAGGCCCCCTTTATCATGGTTTCCAGCCGTTGCCCACCTTCACTTTTTCGGCCTCCATGTAGTCGGCTGGTCAGATGCGTTCTCTCCGGCACGCGCCGCGTCATTTTCCTCATCAGATTATACCAGACCGTTTCATCTACGTCAATCTCGCCGCGGGCGCCCTGCGTGCTTCCCAAGGTTATCCGTAGAGCGCGGCGCGCAGCCCCTTTAAGGGAATTATTCCGGAGAGCGTGCCGCCAGCGCATGAAAAACAACCTCCATTTGCTGAGCTTTTCATGTGCGTGGAAGCTGAAAGGGGTTGCCTTGGAAACGCAGCAGAAATGGGAAAATGACAAAGATTGAACAAAACACGGATGAAAAGGAAACGCTGCGATGGGAGCCGCGGCGGCGAGGGCGACACTCCGTGACATTGAACGCCGGATAAGCGACGTGGTCAATGCGCCATAGATACCCACCGCATCTTAAAGGGGAATCCGCTCGGAATTTAAAGGGCCCGCAACCGCGCGTTTTTCTGGCGAATCGGAGGATCATACCGCATCCCTGCGATCGCGGCCACTTAGCTGTCCAATCAGAGGCTCCCGTCCTGTGCCGGCCACTGCCAGGAGCTCTGCCCCATGAATATCCCCAGTCTGGGGGGTGGGGGGGTCACATGACGGCGAGGAATTATCGTGAAGAAATAATTGAATTTCTGTACTTTGTATAAAATTATTCAAATACCAAAAAAAAGTAGAAATGAAAAGCGGAGAATATATATGGAGTATATAGAGAGACGGATTGTAAGTGACGCATAGAAACCAGGGATCACTTTTATATCCGCGATTCCCCTCCCCCCCCCCCCCCCCACCTCCCCCCCCCCCCCCCCCCCCCCCCCCTCACCTCCCCCCCCCCTCACTCCCCCCCCTCCTCCCCCCCCCCCCACCTCCCCCCCCTCCACCTCTTCCCCCCCCTCCTCCTTCCCCCCCCCCCCCCCCCTCACCTCCCCCCCCCCACTCCCCTCCTCCACCTCACCTCCCTCTCCTCCCCTCACCTCCTCCCCCTCCACCTCCTCCCCCCCCCACCTCTTCCCCCCCCCCCCCCCCCCCTCCCCCTCCCCCCCCCCCCCCCCCTCCCCCCCCTCCTCCCCCCCACCCCTCCTTTTCCCCCACCTCCCCTCCTCCATTGTGGTGGGTGGAGCTTCTTACTCCATCCAGGTTTGTAGTGGGTGGAGCTTCTGACTCCATGCAAATTTGTGGTAGGTGGAGCTCTTCATCCATCTTTGTGGTGGGCGGAGTTCTAAAGTTGACTTTGTGGCGGGCGGAGCTCTTTGTCCAGCTTCACAGTTGTGATGAAGTAGCTGCTTGGGCCGCATAGCGATCTCTCCAGATTTAAATGGCGGGATCTCCTCATCATTAACATAGAATGTACTTTTAAACACGCTGCATTTGAATCTGATCTGTACAGCAGAGCTCAGACTGGGGGAGGGAGAAGCAGCACAGGGAGCACACTGATAGGCCCCTCTCTCTGCTCTGTCCTCCTATCAGTCCGCTGCTTCTCCTTTCGCCATCCAATCACAGGCTGTGGGTGAAGAGGTGAGCAGGCTGTGTTGCCTTCAGCAGAGGAAGGTCAGCTCACCAACCTGGCTCCACTCTGTGGCAGGGCTGTGCAATTCTAAGGACTGGATGGACAGAAAATGTCAACACGTTGGCCTGTAAATCCTCTTCCGCCGGTCACATGACATAGATAAATGATCTGTATCTGCTGGATCTGAGAACTGAGGACATCGGTACAACCCGCAGATACGGGTAGTGTCAGAAGGGGGCGGGGATCTGTCCACAGAGTCTCACTTCTGCTGTGGGAGTCCTTCAGATCCATATGGCGAGTGGGTGGAGCTGGTAATGTCAGAGGTCGGAGATCCGCCCACAGTCTCACTTCTGCTGTGGGAGTGTGGGAACCCCTCAGATCCATATGGCAAGTGGGTGGAGCTGGGAACGTAGGAGCTGGCAGTCTGTCAGGGATAGGAGATTTGCCCAAGGAGTCTCACTTCTACTGTCGGAGTGTGGGGACCCCTCAGATTCATATGGCGAGTGGGCGGAGCTGGGAACTTAGGAGCCGGTATTGTCAGTGGTAGGAGATCCTCCCACGGAGTCTCACTTCCGCTGTGAGAGTTTGGGAACTCCTCAGATCCATATGGCGAGTGGGTGGAGCTGGGAACTTAGGAGCAGGTATTGTCATTGGTAGGAGATCCTCCCACGAAGTCTCACTTCCGCTGTGGGAGTGTAGGGTCGATGGGCGGAGCTGGGAACACAGGAGTGAGTAGCTCCAGGAAGAGGAGTCTCACTTCTATTGCTGTAGTGTGAGTCTCATTCTAATATGGTGAGTGGGCGGAGTTGGGAACTCAGGCGCAGGTAGTGTCAAAGGGATGGGAGATCCGCCTCCATCTTCATGGAAATGGCGGATCCTTTAAGATCCATTCCCACCTGAGCGTTTTTGTGAACGCAAGCGAGCCTTCAGGAAATGTGTTAAAACCCGTATTGCGCTTGCAGCGTCATTCATTGGGGACCCCAATGGCGGCAAACAGACGCAAGTTTTCTGCATACAAAAATGCGCAGTAAATGCGAAACTCCATTCTCACCCGCCTGCATGAGCTACTTTGCCGCACATGGCAGCGCCTTGACATGAACGGAGGTCAGAGATGCGGAGCGTTTTTGCGCACATTCTCGTTGCGAACGCGGCCTTACATCCCTGTAAAGGAAGTGATGCTACACCGCGTTTCCTGCGCCTTCCGGATTCTTCTCTCCGCAGGCAGCGAGTGCGTCCCTCCATCTGTCGGCTTTAATCTCGCGCGATGTTTGCGGAGCCGCCGCGCCGAGCTCACAAATTAAGATTTTTGTAATTGTTTTGCGGGGCGAATGCTGATGAGGCTTGGCGTGGGCGGGTCCCTCTGTTCCCGAGTCGTGCGTCCCGCTGAATTCCGATGGCGGCGGGGGCAGGAGGAGACCCGCGGTGAATTCATCCGCGTACCAGAAGAAAAGGCTTATGGAATAATAGCGGGACGAGGCGGATTATTGCGCCATTTTATGCCCCGAGAAGCCCGGATTAATCCCCACATTGAATGCGGAGCGCTCCGCCATCGCGCGCCCGGCGAGGAGGGAATTTGTGTCTCTGTAATGCCGACGTATTGAAAGGATTCTTGTTTCCCTGAATGGATCGTTGGCATCTCTCCCGCGCCGTGCATCGGGGAACGCATGCGTTGGTGTGCGCATTACGGCAACACGTTTCATGCGTTAGTCGCAGCGCCAATCATTGTCGGCGATACCCCAACCGGCAACACAACCTCTGGCGTACATTGTAACTTTGTAGAAGGAGGAGGAGGCATTTCCTCAGTCTCCTCCCCCAGTGATCAGACTGTACATTGTAACTTTGTAGGAGGAGGGGGAGGCATTTCCTCAGTCTCCCCTCCACCAGTGATCAGACTGTACATTGTAACTTTGTAGGAGGAGGGGGAGGCATTTCCTCAGTCTCATATGTCTGATGACTGGTCCCCTTAAAGCCCATATCCACCCCCGGCACTGAGCTGTGCACAGCCCCCCCCCTCCCCCGCCATGTCTGAGGGGTCAGGCCGGCTGTGTGATGGAACGTTTCCTGGGAAGGAGTCCAGGAAGAGGCCGGGTCCGTCCATTGTGTCAATGAGGCCGATTCACTTTCTCCTCTCGCCGCGCCCTGACCGCCCTCGGCGTTAAAGGGACGGCGAACCTGAAATACAGCGAGGGGGGAATATTCTATTTATTGTGCTTGTATTGTGTTTGGGGGGCCTCACCCTCCGCTGAGGACGCTGCGTCAAATCTGATCACATGACCTCCCCCCTTCCCCCATGTCATTTCTGACAACTGCCATTTATTGAGATGCCCCGCCTCCATCAGTCCTACGCATGTGGACGGTTTTCAAAAATGAGGGTGTGTGTCGCTGCTCCTCTTTCTCGTGATGTCATTGCTATTGGTGGTGGGGGGAGGGGCAAGGACGCTAGACTCCATCCCCCTCCCCTTCCCCCTCCCCTTCCCCCCCTCCCCTTCCCCCTCCCCTTCCCCCTCCCCTTCCCCCCCCCCCTTCCCCCTCCCCTTCCCCCTCCCCTTCCCCATCCCCATCCCCATCCCCTTCCCCATCCCCCCCTTTCCCATCCCCTTCCCCTTCCCCATCCCCTTCCCCTTCCCCATCCCCATCCCCATCCCCTTCCCCATCCCCTTCCCCTTCCCCATCCCCTTCCCCATCCCCTTCCCCATCCCCTTCCCCATCCCCATCCCCTTCCCCATCCCCTTTCCCATCCCCTTTCCCATCCCCTTTCCCATCCCCTTTCCCATCCCCTTTCCCATCCCCTTTCCCATCCCCTTTCCCATCCCCTTTCCCATCCCCTTCCCCATCCCCTTCCCCATCCCCTTCCCCATCCCCATCCCCTTTCCCATCCCCTTTCCCATCCCCTTCCCCATCCCCTTCCCCATCCCCTTTCCCATCCCCTTTCCCATCCCCTTCCCCTTCCCCCCCTTTCCCATCCCCTTCCCCATCCCCTTCCCCTTTCCCATCCCCTTCCCCATCCCCCTTCCCCTTTCCCATCCCCTTCCCCATCCCCATCCCCTTTCCCATCCCTTCCCCATCCCCTTCCCCATCCCCTTCCCCATCCCCTTCCCCATCCCCTTCCCCATCCCCATCCCCTTTCCCATCCCCT